TATATTACTACTTTTAAAGCTTTTTGTGAATTTGAAATCATTTGAAGATTAAAAGTCCAAAACAGGGCACCAGGGGCGGTACAACTTGTTGAGTGTCTGGCTCTTGGTTTTGGCTCAGGTCCTGATCTCGGGGTCATGAGATCGAGCCCCGCAACGGGCTCCAAGCTCGGAGGGGGGAATCTGCTTGGGACTCTCTCTGCCTTTCTCTCTGCCCCTCCTCTCTCTCAAATAAATGAATAAGCTTTAAAAAACAAAACAAAACAAAAAAAAGTTCAGAACAACCACAACAAATAAAAATGTTAGCTCCCTTCCCCTACTGGTCTCTTTTTTCTCAGAGGCCTGAAAGACAGGACGGGGGACTGGGGGGGGAGTAATCCTTAAAAACTGGCCTCTCGCAATTGGTGACGTTTGATTAAGGCTTGTAGATTATCCCAGTACACTGTATGCTAACTAACTGGAATTTAAATAAAGGTTTGTAGATTATCCAACTGTATTATATCAATATTCATTTTGTGATTTTGGTCATTATACCGTGGTTCATTATGAGAATGTCCCTGGTTTTTTTGGAAATACACCCTGTTTGTTTTTCCTCATATTGTTAAACCTTACCTCACCAAAAATAACCTTTGAACAAGCATACCGATAGATTTTATTTATCCTCATTGCTTTCACCCCTGGCACTGCGCACTTCCCCACGACCACAGGCAGACCCTTCTTTGGGGAATGAGCATGGCTCCGGGAGACCTGCAGCTTTTTAGCTCTGTGGGGCAGCCCATGCTGGTCAAGGCACCCTCATTCCCACCGTGTAACTGTAAGGAAGGTGCAGAATGTCCCCCGACCTGGGTTTTCCCATTTTCCGAAGGAGGGGTTGAGCCCAGGACAATTATTACCGGCCAAAAGGGAATGGTGGTGACCAGATTCTTGCCCTCAGGAAAGTGAGGTGATGTCACCTTCCCCAGAAGCCAGGGGGCAGGTGTGACTTTCCTGAGCAGTCACTTCTGGAGGAGGGAGCACAGCCTGCGTGTTGCACGGTAAAAGGGCTTTAGAATGACCAGGACCCCACTCCCCACCGACTGTGCGGCTTTGGGCAGGGCCTCCCATCTCTCTGACTCTCAGCTCCCTATTCTGTAAAAAAGGGGAAGATCCTCTCTACCTCACATCTAGAAGGACCACAGGTAAGGCACCTATCACAGTACAGAATGGGGGCACAGCCAATCCGAGCCCCCTCCCTGCCTGCCTCCAGCCTGGGAGAGAGAGCCAGGGAGCCTGCGGTTGTCTGCCAACATGGCCAGCACAGGTGTCTGGGCCAATGAGGGCAGCGTCCCCCCTCACACAAGGGAACTATTGTTCTAGCACAGGAGCTAGACATGAACGTGCCTCTTGGGGGCGGGGGGGGGAGGGGGGAGGGCAGAGGCAGGACCGTGAGCAGAAAATAATGTTACAGGAAGCTCTGCTCCCTAAAAAGGGCCTCATGGCCTGCTAGCATCCTGAAAAGCTCTTGTTTGGGTCTTTTTATTTTTATTTTTTTAAAGATTTTATTTATGTATTTGACAGAGAGAGAGATAGTGAGAGCAGCAACACAAGCAGGGGGAATGGGAGAGGGAGAAGCAGGCCTCTTGCCGAGCAGGGAGCCCCATGTGGGACTCGATCCCAGGACCCTGGGATCATGACCTGAGCCAAAGGCAGACGCTTAACGACTGAGCCACCCAGGCGCCCTTGTTTGGGTCTTTAACCCGCAAGTGTTCTCGGTGCACAGGAGCGTTCCTCGTGAGGCACTCTATCAGCTGGCTTTGACTGAGACTATGCTGGGCCTCCTGTCCTTCCTTCCTCCGGAGCTCTCACCCACCCTCCCTTATCTCCCATGAAGCTCATGCTCTTGGAAGCACCGGGGGACAAGTCCTGAATCACATCTATGTTAGTTTGCTAAAGCTGCCGTATCAGAGTACTACAGACTGAGTGACTTACACAACAGAAATGTATTTTCTCACAGTTCTGGAGGTTAGGCATCCAAGATCAAGGCATCGGCAGGACTGGTTTCTCCCCAGGCCTCTCTCCTTGGCGTGTAGGTAGCTGTCTTCTCCCTCTGTCTTCACATCGTCTTCCCTCTGTAACTGTCTGTGTCCAAATTTCCTCTTCATATAAGGACACCAGTCAGATTAGGGCCTATCCCATGACCTCATTTTACCTTACCCTTTAAAGGCCTTATCTCCAAATACAGTCACTTTCTGAGAGGGGATAGTAATTCCTATACATAAATTTGGGAGAACACAATTCAGTCCGTAACACCATTTTACAGGTGTCCAGCACACTCATGAGAGCAATCGTGGCCTGGAATTAGGTTAGGATCCCCCCCATCCTCCTTTCTCCGCTTCCTGCACACCCCCACCTCACCATTGGCCAGCCCCAAAGAGGAAGGGGATGGTGGTAAGGATAATCCTCAATCTACTTCCCCACCAATCCTCAGAGCTGATGGGGCATGAGAGGTCAGGCAACGTAGTGAGCTGGGCACAGGCAGGAGGGGGAGAGGGCCAGATACTCTAGGGCAGTGCTTTTCAAACTTCTCTGTGCATAGGAATCACTGGGGGGGTGGTCCTTGTTAACCTGCAGATTCTGAGTTAGCTTCTCTGGGGAAAAGCCTGAGACTCTGCATTTCTAACAAGCTCCCAGATGATGCTGATGCTCTTGGTCTACAGGCCACACTCCAAGGAATAGTAAGGTTTAGACCAGCACTGTCCATTAGAAATACAATGGGAGCCATTAAAATTAGAAAATTAAAAAAAAATTTTTTTAAAGATTTTATTTATTTATTTGAGAGAGACAGAAAGAGAGAACAAGCAGGGGGAGCTGCAGGCAGAGGGAGAGGGAGAAGCAGGATTCCCGCCGAGCAGGGAGCCCAATGCGGGGCTCAATCCCAGGACCCTGGGATCATGACCTGAGCCGAAGGCAGATGCTTAACCAACTGAGCCACCCAGGCGTCCCGAAAATTTTAAATTTTCTAATAACCATATCAAAAAAAGGAGAAAGAAACAAGTGAAATTAACTCATATATTTTCAACCCGATACACTCCAAAGGACTACCACTTCAGAATATTAAGTCATGTAAAAATCCTTAATAAATTTTATGCTGGGGTGCCTAGGTGGCTGAGTCGGTTAAGCATCTGACTCTTGATTTCGGCTCAGGTCATGATCTCACGATGGTCTTGAGATCAAGCCCCTTGTTGGGCTCTGTGCTCAGCAGGGGGTTTGCTTGAGAGTCTCCCTCTCCCTTTGCCCCTCCCCCCACTCGTGCACGCGTGCTCTCTCTAAAATAAAAAAATACAAATCTTTAATTAAAAAAAAGAAATTTTATGCTCTTTTTTGTGGTTAGTCTTCAAAATCCAGTAGGTATCTTATATTTATAGCATATCTCATGTTGGACTCTCAATACTTGATCACAGAATTTATAGTTGAAAAAGTGGAAGCACACACCTAAGTTATTCCAAACATACTTCACAGTTTTCCAATAACTGGATCTAGTACCAACCTTTCCATTTAAATTTAAGTTCATTAAAGTTACAATTCTTTGGTGCCATTATCCTATTTCATGTGCTAAAAACCTACGGCTGGCTAGTGGGCAGTGTAGGACTAGACCCTCAGGGAGCAGAAAGATAGAAATGAGGGGTTCTCCAGCTCCGGGGAGGACTTGGGAGGAAATAAAGTCAGACAGCAGCCTGAGAAGGAGCCCAGGAAAGGGGCTGTCAGAAGAAAAGAGATTAAGGTTACTTAGCTGCACCCCAAGATCCAAGCCCAGGCATTACAGTCTGCTCTAGAGGAAGGGGTCTAGAGAGACAAGTGGGAGTCAGGTGCTGCTCCGAGGGACTGCCCCTCCGTGACACTCTCATAAGCCCCAGGATGTCTGGAGAGAGCATAAGAGGATGAAGGGATCCCAAATCTACCCAAGTAGGAATCGGTTGTAAACCAAGAACTATTTCGGGGGAGAACCAAAAAGCATTTCTGGGGATGGATTCTGGAGAATGTCCTGTGCACAGGATCTTGAACCTGTCCCAGACACCCCCGGGAGGCAAAATCAGGACCGAGGGTGACATTACAGAAGGCTGCTTGGCGGTCAGACCAAGGATGAGTTTTAAAACAAGGAGGATCATCCAGTAGTAAAAACAGGGAGCTCCCTGCCCTTGGAATCCCAGAGAAAGAATACTCTAGAGAAATCATCCCACGCCCGCCCTCCACCGCACCCCCAGCAGTGAAATACCAAAGCGGAGACTGGGAAGCCACCTGCTGAGGGGCGGCAGCAGAGGGGTTTCTTATCTTACGGAGGGTTGGATAATGTGGGTCCCTCCACCCAGATGCATATTAATTGCACATTTGGGGTAACTGTCAGCATTCACTGCGCATTTACACTTACTAAGTGTCAGGCACTGAGCTAAGCACTTTCATCCTCACTAAAGCCCCGAGGCTGTCCTCCCATCATCCCAGCTTCTCAGAGGAGGACACTGAGTCAGAGTGGTGAAGTTAATTCTCATAGCTAGAAGGTGCTGGAGTTAGGATTTATTTATTTTTTTTTAAAAGATTTTATTTATTTATTTGAGAGAGAGAATGAGAGAGAGAGAACAGGAGAGGGGGGAGGGTCAGAGGGAGAAACAGACTCCCTGCCGAGCAGGGAGCCCGATGCGGGACCCGATCCTGGGACTCCAGGATCACGACCTGAGCCGAAGGCAGTCGCTTAACCAACTGAGCCACCCAGGCGCCCCTGGAGTTGGGATTTAAAAGTGGGCAGCCCGATTCCAAAGCAGGCTCCTATCACTCCACCGTACTGCCTAGAAGGCGGCTCAGCCTGTCTTGCCCTCTTCCCGCTCCGCCTTATCCAAGGCGCCCCACTCACTGCGGAGGTGACATCTACCACACCCGGCGGGAGAGTGACAGGCCTGGATCTGCCACCAAGACCACTGCGTCCACAATCACATTTAAAATTTCCCTCCATCTCTTGCATGTCTTACCCTGCGATGTGCTTTCTCAGACCCCCCTGCAATGAGAGAGAGAGAGTGAGTGAGCAAGGAGGAGGGAATGGGGCTGGCCCAGATCCCACCCCCACTGCCCAGCTTCCACATGGCTGAGCAGGAACTCAGGAGCAGAAGCACACAAAAGAGGGCTTTGAGGTGGCTGCAGCCAGGCCCAGGCCAATCCCCCCGCCCCCCTGGTGCTTCACTTGCCCCAATCTGGGCCTCCCTGTAAGCCTGATTTAACGGGGAAACTGTGGGCCTTGAGAAGTTCCTTGTGACACACTAATCCCAGCCTGCTGACTGGACCACGCCCCCAGTGGAGGCAACCTCCAGGCTCCCCGAGGAGGAGGAGGAGGACTGCGGACGCAGGTACCAGGTAGGCCTAAGGAGAGCTCGTAGGTAAGTCAGTAGCAGGGGTCTGGCTGGGCCAAGGAGCCCAGGACTGGGATGAGGATTGGGGGGGTGGGGGTGGGGAGACCACATCCCAGGCTGCCTGTAAAACTGAAACCAACTGGCCATTCTCCAAGTGCTGCTAGATCAACCTGACGGCAGATTTAGCAAATAAAAATACAAGGCACCCAGTTAAATGTGAATTTCAGATGAACAACAAAGACTTTTTTAGTGTAAGTATGTCCCAAATATTGCATGGGACATACTTATGCTTCAAAAGTCTTTGTTGTTCATCTGGAATGGACACGGGATTGGGCATTCTGTATTTATCTGGCAACCCTAGATGGCAGGGAACAGCCTCACCACGGAATGGGGGTGAATGTGTTTTCATTGTATATAGTTCATAAATCAGTATTTTAAAAACTCAAAATTAATTAGATTGGGCATATTTTTAAAAGAACTGCTGTACTGACTTTCACCTTCTAATTCGAGGCTCTAGGATCTTGTCCTAACGATCTGCTTAACTGGCTGGGGGTGTCCCGCCACTATCTCGCCTGCCTAAGCTCAATTCTATCAGCCTCTCCATTCCTGTTCCAGCAAAACCCAAGTGAGGGAGGCCACACCAGTATTTCAGTCTGTCTCTGTGTCCACACAGTTGGAAGTCTACCTGCCAGAGACAAGGCTTAGATTTGATTCCAGTTGGTGGGTTCCCTACCCTGGCTGGGGCTGGGGAGTGGGAGAGGCAGGGAATTAGGAGATCCTCAGATATTCCCTGAGCTCTGGGATCCTCCCAGTCTCTCTGGGCACACTAGGGCAATGATCAGTCTGATGCTAAGAAAGGGAAGGGAAATCATGTTTTAGAGCAAAACATTGTGCTAGGTACCTTACAGAAATGATAGGCTCTTCATTACAACTCTATTTGGTAGGTACAGTTATTATCCCCAATTTGAAGATGGGGAAACTGAGGCTCAGAATGGTTCAATAACTTGCCTAAGGTCATGTGGGTGGTAAATGACAACTCTCGGTTCCAACCCAGGTTTCTCTGACCCTAAAGGGTTTTCTGTAACACCCATTCTCCTAGGGAGTTTGCCTGGAGAGGTCTTGGCCCTAGCTGTCAAAGCGGTGGTTCAAGTCTCACCTTTGTTACTTTCCAAAAATGAGCAGGTGACAGAACTGACAAGTGGGAACCTGGTCAGAGACAGGAGCAGGGTGGTGACAGCTCCTTTAAAGGCAGTGGGGATGTTTAGGGGGGAGAGGAAAAAAATCTGGCTACAGGAAAGCTGTCTCCAAAAATACTCAGTGGGTTGAGCAGGTTGTCATGTGGGCAATGGATGAGATTTGTTCTGGTGGCCAAGCAATGCCTCTCTGCACGTTATTTAAGTGAACCTTCATTACCCTCCTTCCGCCTCCCTTTTCCAGGGGACAACCAAGACTCAGGTTAAATTACATAGCTTGCAAGTGGAAGAGACAGACTTTGAACTCAGGCCCAATTTTGCCCCAAGAGGCTGCGTCTCGATGCTCATGGGAAGTCACAGCTTGGGCTCCAGGCCTGATCCCTGGCTGTTTCTGGTTGTGCGACAGTGGACAAGTCACTTACTCTCCCTGGGGTCTGCTCCTTCCCATGTAAGATGGGGAGAATAATGCCGGCTCTGGCTCTGAGATACTCATCTGAAATTACTTAGTGCATCACAGAGCACAGAACACACACCCCGGTATTCTGGTTACATAACTAGTCATCACCCCTCCTGAGAATGAAAGCACCAGAGAAGGGGCCATCCACTAGGCTGGGAAGTTTCCGAGATCCCCCTTTGGGCTGGAGAAGGAGGGCCACAGACAGGAGGAGCGATTGCCTTATTCTGCAGTGATCATGTAACTTCAGAATGGAGGCCAAAACTAGGTTCTCCCTGGCTGCACCAACTCATCTTAAGAACTAAGGTTTGCGGGCTCCCTGCTCAGCGGGGAGTCTGCTTCTCCCTCTTCCCTACCCTCCCTCTCGTGTGCTTTCTCGCTCTCATTCTCTCTCTCTCAAATAAATAAAATCTT